ATGTCTTACGCAACGCACGGGTCCACTATACTAATCCAATCGTCCATCGTATCGAGTAAAATACATTTGGGAGGCTTTTTGTGGGATTGCTTTATGAGCTCGAAGAACTCGTCCATAGTATAAGCGTCTACGTCTTTCAATTTCTTCGAGAAAACGCTGAAAGTAGCGTCAACGTCTGTATGGGTGTGTCCCACCAGCATGAAACCTATTTCTACCTCTTCAAAAACTTCGAACTTAACCAACAGTGCAGCCAGGGCACATATGTACTTGTTCTTGTTTTCCCGCCAACAATTATCTGCTTGAATGCGCAAAAACCGTGGCAGTGGCGTCCCGCTCCCTTGAATTTCGACAAGGGTTCTCATAACACAAGTAGCGACCGTGTTGGAATCGTGTTTGAAATACGGAAACCACGTGTACACATATATACTAGGGTCTCTGCCGTGTGCAATGACGCCTGTCAGATTAGTCTTCATCATCATCTCGTGCCTAAGTGCTTTCGAGTAGTTCGTTTGACCAATATGGGGGATAGTTATTTTCTTCTGATCCATGCCGTCAATGATGAGACACAAACGCTCGTTCGGACGAACCATGGAATCAGTTTTCGCTCGACTGTAGTCCAATCTGTGTTCAACTTGCCTCCTTTGGTGTGCTTTTATATCCTCTCGAGCACGTTCTCGATCTCGAGGAAGAGCAGCATATTGTATACGTTCCTTCAGTTCATGACAGACGGCGCACTTCCTGAACGTGTTAGATTGCGCGAGGGAAACGTGAAAAAAGTGTTTCCGCCACAACTTATAAAAGTTGGACTCAGACACGACATCGAGGTCAGCGGCCAGAAAGTCGGATTTGATGGACTCATAAATTGATCTCTTCGTGAAAGCAGCCGGGAGTCGAAGCTTCGGTCTGGAAACCCTACCTTGGTTAGCCACCTCATTCGGCATGCTATCCACATGACACTCGATGAACGTTCTCATGCTGGCAAGCATGGCGACCATTTTATTTGTTGGCCTATATTTTTCCGTCAGGCCATGCTCGGAACGCACGTAGCCATTGTCGAAACGTTTTTTGTAGCTGTAAAATGTATTACGAGAGACACCGAGTACATTGCAGTACGCCCTGATGCACATTGAACGTTCCAACTCCACAGGGCGGACACGTTTCTGTCCACTCTCATTTACTGTGAAATCCTTAATACTTTTCATCCACCACTCAGCTCGCTCTCCCGGACTCTTACTGTACAGTCCTTGTCTAACCTTTCGCACTTCCTCAGGCGACAAGTCGTAACAACATCGAGCCTTGCAACATGCCATGCCGCGCACCATAAGCAGTCTTCTTCCGGACAACATGTTTCTTGCTCTTTTGTACTGTTCTTTCCTCCTAGCGTTCCTATTAGCCATGCTATACCTTCGTCTTTCGCCTGGCAGAGGTGCGGGCAAAATCTGCAGTATCGCCCTTCTCTCTGCATCACCCCTGCCAGACGATTCCGACCCAGACTCGCTCTGACTTGGAATCGCATCATCACTTCGCATATGCGTTGGACTCGCCCGTGCTGTGAAAAGCTCCTCTGAAGAATAGTCGGTGGCAACCAAGTTCGTAGTACTGGAGTTAGAGCGAAGCAAAGGTCCACTGGAATAGGACCGTTGTCCTGACGAGTAATCAGTGGCCACCAACCGCTCACTCTCGTCATCAGACGATGCGTAAGAAACACCCATTGGCACGCAACTGCTGTGCGCCGAAGCTGTGGAGTGCACCTCGCCAGGAATGTGRAACTCTATCCGGRAGGTAGACGGTTCTTCGGCCGYGGAYGTTGTTGCCAATTCTGTGGGCAGTTGGATGCAACCTCCAAAGCTCTCACGAAAAGCGAGATTTCGTTTTCTGGGGAAATCCGCAGCTGACTGTTGGAACGGCGAACTGTCCGAAGAGGTCGTCGGGGCCAACTCCAGGTGTTGTAGCTGGCAATGCAAGTCGACGGCTTGTTCAGTTTCATAGCCCGGTTCATGCGGCCGTTCGCCGAGCCTTCTTTGGCGCCGTCATGCAACCGTCGGTGCAGCGGATGCGATTCCCGTCAGTGCAATGGATTATTCTCTTTTGTGCGGGTCGAACGGGTCGTTCGAATTCGTGTCCACACCTTGCAAAACAGCGGAGCAAACTGTAAGCACGGTCAGATTTATGCGTTGAGGGCACAAAATTCGCTGGGATCCGAATTTGGCGGGTGCAGGAGTAGCAAGGAACCTGTTTTCGCATGGCTTGTGTCAGTGGAAGGTAGTGCCAGTGGGTGCACACAAGGAACGCTATGTTTGGGCGAACAGAAGGAAGGCTCTGTTGTCGGTGGACGATAGCACGCGCAGAACAAAGGGTAGTGGTGGATGCACCACCACATAATTCGGCGTAGCGCGACCCCARWCAGACCCCTATAAACACCGATTCTCACCATCGTCTAAGCGAGCTCGTGCGGTGCTCCATTCGCTGGCACTAGTGCAATAGCGACCCCCGATTCGCGCGCCGGGAACGTCGACGTGCGACAGCGTGAACCAGACACCGCGCAGAAACACAAGCATGTCTGCGTCAAGACTCCGCACACCGCGACGGTCAAAACCCTTGGGGGTCAGAAAAGATCGTGGGTGCGAAAAGTTGCTCGCCTTCTGAAATGCCCTTGAAGGGGTTTATGGGGGTTGCCAACGGTGACAACGGTCGTGTCCCTTACTTTCGGCAACCCCCATGAACCCCTTCAAGGGCATTTCAGAGGGCGAGCAATTTCTCGCACCCGCAGTCCTCTCGCAATCAACTCATATTTGAAGCTCCAGGCGCCATGTGAAGGACGGATAGATTTGCGCCGATCCTCAAAGTCCGCCAGGATCCGAACTTGGCGGATTTGCCTGCAGCGAGTAACAGGGGTTTCGCGCGGCTGCAGGTATTGGAACGGGTGGATGGCGTTTGCACAGAAGCAGGCGATGCTCGGCCGCACCACATTTCGGGGCGGCGATGAACGAAGATCCACGGCACATCGAAAATGCACCCGGCCAGTGACACCATCGTCAACCCCAATAAACCCCTTTCAGGGCAACTCACAAGGCGAGCACTTTTCCGCACTACCAGGCCGCCGACATTGAAGACGGACTGGGCAGTCCAAGCTGTTGAAAATAACGGTCAGATTCACGGGGAGCCTGTAAGTTCACCGGGATCCGAATTTGGCGGGTGCAGGAGTAGCAAGGAACCTGTTTTCGCGCGGCTTGTGTCAGTGGAAGGTAGCGTCAGTGGGTGCACACAAGGAACGCTATGTTTGGGCGAACAGAAGAAAGGCTCTATTGTCGGTGAACGATAGCACGCGCAGAACAAAGGGTAGTGGTGGATGACCACCACACAATTCGGCGTAGCGCGACCCCAAACAGACCCCTATAAACACCGATTCTCACCATCGTCTAAGCGAGCTCGTGCGGTGTTCCATTCGCTGGCACTAGTGCAATAGCTATCGAACACAGACATCTCCACTGCGCAGACAAGAAAAATGCAGAAAAGGATGAAAGAACCCCCCTTAAACCGTTCCAAACATTGATTCGGTCAGTCGAGAAGGCGACCCCCGATTCGCACGCCGGGAAGTCGAAGTGCGACAGCGCGAACTGGACAGCACGCAAAAACACAAGCATGTCTGCGTCAAGACTCCGCACACCACGACGGTGAAAACCCTTGGGGGGGCAGAAAAGATCGTGGGTGCGAAAAATTGCTCGCCTTCTGAAATGCCCTTGAAGGGGTTTATGGGGATTGCCTTCGGTGACAACGGTCGTGTTCCTTATTTTCGGCAACCCCCATGAACCCCTTCAAGGGCATTTCAGAGGGCGAGCAATTTCTCGCACCCGCAGTCCTCTTGCAATCAACTCACAGTCGGAGCTCCAGGCGCCATGCGGAGGACTGATAGATTTGCGCCGATCCTCAAAGTCCGCCAGGATCCGAACTTGGCGGATTTGCCTGCAGCGAGTAACAGGTTTTTTCGCGGCTGCAGGTATTGGAACGGGTGGATGGCGTTTGCACAGAAGCAGGCGATGCTCGGCCGCACCGCATTTCGGGGCGTCGATGAACGAAGATCCACGGCACACCGGAAATGCACCCGGCCAGTGACACCGTCGTCAACCCCAATAAACCCCTTTCAGGGCAACTCACAAGGCGAGCACTTTTCCGCACTACCAGGCCGTCGGCATTGAAGACGGACTGGGCAGTCCAAGCTGTTGAAAATAACGGTCAGATTTACGGGGAGCCTCTAAGTTCGCCGGGATCCGAATTTGGCGGGTGTAGGAGTAGCAAGGAACCTGTTTTCGCGCGGCTTGTGTCAGTGTAAGGTAGCGCCAGTGGGTGCACATAAGGAATGCCATGTTTGGGCGAATAGAAGGAAGACTCTGTTGTCGGTGAACGATAGCACGCGCAGAACAAAGGGTAGTGGTGGATGCACTACCACACAATTCGCCGCAGCGTGACCCCAAACTGACCCCCATAAACTCGATTCCCACCATCGTCTAAGCGAGCTCGTGCAGTTTTCCATTCACAGGTACTAGCGCAAGACCTTATCGAGCTCGGACATCCCCACTGCGTAGACAAAAAAAATGTAGAAAAGGATGAAAGATCCCCCCTTCAACCTTTCCAAACATTGATTCGGCCAGTCTAGAAGGCGACCCCCATTTGTGTGACAAGACTCCGCACACCGCGACGGTCAAAAACCTAGGGGGGCAACAAAGATCGTGGGCGCGAAAAATTGCTCGCCTTCATAAATCCCCTCGAAGGGGTTAATGTGGGTTGCCGACGGTGACAACGACCGTGTCCCTTATTTTCGGCAACCCCCATGAACCCCTTGAAGGGCATTTCAGAGGGCGAGCAATTTCTCGCACCCACAGTCCTCTCGCAATCAACTCACACTTGAAGCTCCAGGCGCCACGCAAAGGACGGACAGATTCTCGTCGATCGTCAAAGTCCGCCAGGATCCGAACTTGGTGGATTCGTCTGCATTCGTAACGGGTGGATGGCGTTTGCACAGAAGCAGGCGTTGCTCGGGCGCACCGCAATTTGGGGCGCCGATGAACGAAGATCCACGGCACACCGGAAATGGAGCCGGCCAGCGACACCGTCGTCAACCCCAATAAACCCCGTTCAGGGCAACTTACAAGGCGAGCAATTTTGCGCAATACCAGGCCGCAGGCATTGAAGACGGACGGAGAAGTCCAAGCTATCGAAAACAACGGTCAGATTCATGCGGCGCCTCGAAGTCCTACGGGATCCGAATTTGGCCGGTGCGGGAGCAGCAAGGAACCTGTTTTTGCGCGGCCGGTGTCAGTGGAACGGAGCGCCAGAGGGTGCACACAAGGAACGCTATCCTCGGCCGCACAGAAGGAAGGCTCTGCAGCTCTCAAGCTGTCGTTGAACGTCAGCACGCGCAGAGCAAAGGGCAGCGGTGGATGCACCACCACAAAATCGGGCGCAGCGCAACCCCAAACTGACCCCTAGCGCAAGAGTTCATCGAGATCGGACATCCCAACCGCGCAAACTGATGAAAGACCCCCCCTGCAACCCTTCCAAACCCCGATTCGGCCAGTCGACAAGGCGACCCCCCCTGCAACCCTTCCAAACCCCGATTCAGCATGTGGGCGACAAGAATCCGGGCACCGGGATGGTCAAAACCCTCTGGGGGCAACAAAGATCGACGACACACAGACAAGGGACATGGCCGCTATCACCGTCGGCAACCCCCACAAACCCCTAGAAGGGCATCTCAGAAGGTGAGCAATTTTTCGCACCCCAGTCCTCGCGCAATCAACTCACACTTGAAGCTCCAGGCCTCATGCGAGCACTTTTGCGTGCCCGGAGGTCTCTGGTAATCAGAACGCACTCGACAGTCGTGGCTGTCGAAAACGGCGGTTAAATTTACGCGGGACCTCAAAGTCCGCCGGGATTCGAACTTGGCGCTTCTGGACTGGCCAGGAACCGGTTTGCGCGGGGGACGACGGATATTTGGATGACCGGTGTGGAATTGCACAGAAGGAACGCTAGGCTTGGCTGCATGTTCAGGGAGGCCCTGCTGCTGCTCACAAGTGTTTGTTCCAACAGAGCACGCATAACAGAAATGGTCGTCGCAGGTGCACCACGTCGGAAATTGGCGCAGCGCGGCCCCCAATAGACCCTCATGGACCCCGATTCTCCTCATCGACAAAGCGAAAAGTCGTGCAACCAGGACTCTGAAAAGATCCATGCAAACCGTAAGCGTCTTATTTCAGTGACGCGGTCGAAACAACAATAATCATCCGAGCAGCCCGCGACTTCGCATGCTTCAGATTGCAAGTCCGCCGGGATCCGAACTTCGTCGCACGCTGAAAACTGGCATGGCGTTATGAACTATCGACCCCACGCCCGAAAGGTGGGAACTGTGTCCCGCAAAACGTAGTCATCAGGGCAACCCGGGATGGCATTGTGACTGCGAACGCGAAACCAACAACCGCCAAAAAAATGGGAACTTCGGATCCCGGCGAACTATAGCAATCATGCGCTATTTTCGCACCTGCGCGTGCTCTCCCTGCGGCCGAGCGACCACAACAGATTGCTGCTTTCGCGAGAGCACTGCGCATGATTGTTGTAGTTCGCCAGGATCCGAACTTCCCATCTCGCCAGGCAACCACACGCCACGCGCCTTTTTTCGTTTGGCTGTTGTTGGTTTCGAGCTTGCGGTGACAATGGCGACCCCCCTTGCCCCGATGACTGAGACATTTCCCGGAGGCGGCCGGATTGTTTGTTACTGAACGAGGACATGTTTTCGTGTCGAGGTTGTCGTCACGAAACATGCGGCGCTCACGCCGAAGAAACGCCATCGTCATTGCAGTGAGCGGCGCAGGCGTTCTCCTTCGCGCGCACGCAACGTGTGCGTTCTTCGTTCTGGAGCCCGCGGATGTTGCACGCACAGTCCTGGCATTTGTCGTCCGGAATGCGATATCGCATCCCTCACGACCAGCGCCAGGAGCGCGCGCTCAACATCCATGGCCTCTATGGTGGATCATGTGCACGTCGTGTGCGCGGGATGGAGACGACAGCAACTCTCCCGGGATTGACGCCATAGTCTCTTCGGGGACGGAGGCTCAAGTGTTGCGGCGAGAACACGAACACGGAACGACGACCCCCTCCTGTTAATGAATACCTTACCTCTCACTGCACGCCACGTGGACGGCGGACATCCTTCCCACCGTGGCCACCGCGCRAYRCTYAGTACCAACAGCGGTCGCGCGCAGCCCATGCGTCTCCTTTGTGATAACCAACCTCTAATCTCTTTGTTGAGAACAGCAAACGAGCGAGGGAAGTGTTTCGAAGGGGTTTCGTGTTCTGCTAGGAATAGGCGATTTCGTGTTTGCCTCGACCGCGCGGGATTGGTTTGCAATGCCCAGCTTGTGATCAACGACAGTTTTTCTTCAATGCCAAGCCAAACAAGAGTCGTGGGGGCGGTCGCGTGGAACGAATGAGAGAGAAGCAGAACGGGACACGCAAACCGTGTGCCCCGATGTCCACGTCGTCCGTTCCCGCCGTCCCAGCCACTTGCGACACGTGGCATGACATGAGGACAATGATGACGACGGTGATGAACACGATGATAGTGACAATTACGGTGGTGATGTTGATCTGGGCGACGATGCCGCTGACGATGATGACGATGTTGATGACGATGATGATGTCGATGATGATGTTCGTGATGATGACGATTGTAATGACGACGATGATGATAATGACGATGATGACGACGATGATGACAATGTTGATGATGGCGATGACAACGAAGAGGACGATGGTGGTGATTTTGATGACAGCGACGATGTCGCTGATGATGATGATGTTGTTGATGACGTTGATGATGTTGATGATGATGTCGATGATGATGATGATGTTGATGACGTTGACGAGGCTGATGATGATGTTGTTGATGATGATGATGATGCTGATGAAGATGATGATGATCACGATGACAATGATGGTGATGATGATGATGATGATGATGATGATGATGAAGATGATGACGCTGATGGTGGTGGCGACGATGATGGTGATGATGGGGGCGATGATGATGATGATGATGGCAAGCAAGAATCACGGGGCCGCTCGCGACTTGAAACAGGTGGCGCGATGTGGCCGCTCCCATGGGCCGGCAAACATGCCTGACACGAGGGCAGGCAGACACTTCACCTTGAAGAGGGCACAGCGCACACGATGGCGCTGCTCTTTGACGGCTCACAGTTCTTCGAGGAGGTGCAGTTCTTCGACGACGGCGAAGCGCACACGATGGCGCAACTGTTCGACAAGGGCTCAGCGCAAACGGCGTTGGCCACTTGCTGACGCAGGACGCAGAGACGAGATGTCGAAGCGGAGACAACCGAACCACAGATGACAGTTGTCGACGAGAGGAAGCCCCTGCGCCCACGCCCGTCGTCGCCTGGCACAACAGCGGAGCAGAAAAGGCGATGGAGGATGTCGCTGACGGGACGCCGAGCGCGAATGCGCTCGTCAGACTCGAGATGCGAAAGGGCTGCCCCAGACCCGAGGCAGCTGAGCGTCAAACTGTCGTCGCACCCCATGGAAAGACCCGCCTGTGTCCCCCCGCACGGCCACAGACCCCGCTCGCCAGCCAGGAGACGCGAATTGTCGCGAACCCCTTCAACCTCCCCTTTCCCCCAGCCCCCCCCCCCCTCCCCCCTCCCGCGGTTCTCCCCCCTCACCCCTGAAAAGTACAAACTGCCCCCCACTGACACTTGAGACCCCCTCCACCGGGGCCCGCGAACCCGAAGACACGAACGCGAGGGGCCCGGAACAAGGGCCCGTTTTCCAATGACGTCCGGGAAGGGCCAGCCCGTAAGGACGTTTTTGTCACATTTCGACGCACCAGGCCCCCCTCGCGACAATTTCGACGTGCAGCCACCGTTCGATGCGCGGATCGAACAGACTAGAGTCGGCGCGCGGACCCTGCACGGAAATCCGAAACGGAAGGCCCGAGGGGGCCTCGTGTCCCGCGCGGCCTACAAATACGAGCGGCGCTCTGGGCATTGACGATGCGTTTTGCGATTTTTGCTGGGGAGATGTTGCCCGACGGAAGCCACGCACCACCATTCTCGTCAACAGCTGGCGCGCCATAGCTAGCACAGCCATTCTTCACCGCGCACGTTTCGTGGCACCGACGCACCCCACATGCCCTCGCATGTCCCTCCGCCTACCAAGTCGCTGTCCACGTCATATTCGACGTCGCTCCCGATCTCCTTTCTCGGAAGGCGCGACCGCCACCCCACGCAGCACCCCAGCAAACGCGAAGTGCACGCCCAAAGGTAGGCAAAGTGCCGTCACGACAAACGTCGGGGTTCATGCTCATCTTCACTCGGCAGTTCCACACGGTGAGTGCGCACGCAGTCGGGATGTATGTTTGCATGTGCACGCGTGCGGGGGAGGTTTTTTGTGACGATATGCTCACGCAGATCGAAAGATTTCGTGGCTGCATGTGTGCGGGTGGGCGTGTGTGTGTGTGTGTGTTTGTGTGTAATTGTGTGTTTGTGCATGCTTCATTGTGTGTGTGTGTGTGTTCGAGTGCGTGTCCCTTTGTGTTTGTGTCTGTATTGAAGTGTGTGCCACACGCGCGAGGCAGGATCGTGCGCGCGTCTGTACCTGAGGGGCGTGTGTGTGCGGGCGCCGTGTGTCGGCGCGCGCGTGTGTGTGTGTGTGTGCGTGTGTGTGCCTGTCTGTGCATATGTGTTCGTGTGCGTTTTCCGCGGGGAGATGCGCGCGAACGTGCGCGGTCAGGGACGAACGTCATGGTTCACCCTTCGATTCCGCTTGTGTGTGGATGTGTGAGGATGTGTGAGGAGAGTATCAACAAACGATTGCGCTCGTGCTGTACTCAAGTGGCGAAGCACGGAAGCTCGGATCGAACACGGGGAGGCCAATAACGAAACATAACGTCATCGTGAGCACTTGCCATACCCGATCTGCCCCAATGGATGATCAATCGAAACACGCGGTGGCAATGTCGACACAGCTCGGATCGAACACGCGGCGGTTTTGTGTGCTGTCCCAATGTCATGTCCGCCGATCTGTCCAATGGATGATCAATCGAAACACGCGGCGGTTTTGTGTGCTAACCCAATGTTATGTCCGCCGATCTGCCCAATGGATGATCAATCGAAACACGCGGTGGCAATGTCGACACAGCTAACGCATCCATCGACCAATCGCGAAACACGATTAGATCACTCGCGATCGGATGATTGGTCGTGTCTGCCGTGTCGACGCTACCACCGCGTGTTACGATTGATTATCCATTGTGTGTTGTTCTTTCTGTCGTGTGTGTTCAGATCACTCGTGATCTGATGGTCGATCAGATCCATGACAATATGTACACCACACACGTGATGAACCAACCCATCACGAAACGCAAGYCGACCACTCGCGATCGGGTGATAGATGTTGTTTGCCTCCCCAACAACAGCGCCGCTGATCTGCCCGACGGATGATTAACCAATGCAGGAGGCGACAACGCATCCAACCGACCAATCGCGAAACGATAGAAGATTACTTGCGATCGGATGATTGATCGTGTATGCTGCACCGAAGATCAACCCGCCGGCGAGCGACCTGTTTATTTACCCACCTGACAGTCCTCGACCGAACCGTCGATCGGCCAGGAAATCTGCCAGGATCAACTGATTGGTCCACAGCTCGGTTAGCGATTGCTCTGCTGGTTGATCAACCACCACACCAACCGCCAACCGAGCAGCCGATCGACTGTTCTGTGCTAATTGATCATGGAGAACGATCGCGGAGAATCCTCAAGGCAAATGATCATGTGCACGGTCGAAATCGGCGAACGAAACGCACAACCGATCGGAAAAACGTCGATCCCGATCTTCGAACGAATAAAAAGCACTTCATCACAATCTTGTTGCACATCGAACCTCGTATAACATCGAACCATGCTGCCCACGGAACCTGGCTCCACATCAAACCTCGGCGGGCGTCGAACCTCGTCGGACGTCGAACTTTGAGCACCCACCACCCCACGCGTCGCCGACACTGTTCTCGTGATCGGAACGTGGCCGTTCCAACCGAACTGATCGCGCAATCAAACACCGGAAGAAGTTGGGATCCCGGCGAGCTTGTGCAGCTGTTCGAACACGCTTCTCAACCCCGGTGCGCAACCACAGCCAGGGACGTGGAAAATTAGAAGTCCGTCGGGATCGAAACTTCAAGAAATTGCTGGACGGCGAGTTTGGCAGACACGTGTGCATCTCCCACGCAATTTCGCCAAGTTCGGATCCCGGCGAACTTCATGTAGCTGTTCGAACGCGCTTCGCAACCCCGGTCCCCAACCACAGCCCGGGACGTGTAAAAATTCGAAGTCCGCCGGGATCCGAACTTGAAGAAATTGCTGGACGGCCAGTTCGGCAGACAGGTGTATGTCTCCCACGCAATTTCGCCAAGTCCGGATCCCGGCGAACTTCATGCAGCTGTATGTCTCCCTCGCAACCCAGGTCCGCAACCACAGCCTGGGACGTGGAGGAATATGAAGTCCACCGGGATCCGAACTTCAAGAAATTCGCAAGACAGCGAGTTTGGCAGACAGGTGTATATCTCCCACGTAATTTTTCAAAGTTCGGATCCCGGCCAACTACAGGTTCCTGCTGGCCTGCGGATCCAAACCTCGCTCGCACTATTCCTTGCACACTCATCGAGTCCGGACCTCGGCGAACCTCGGATCCGTGATAATGTGAAGTCCGCCGGGATCCGGACTTCTACTGCACGGTTCCTCGCACAGACATCAAGTTTGCACCCCGGGGACTTCGCTTGTCTCAATGTGAGAACTTCGCGTCGCGCACGGTGTGGGTACTGACTGTGTCCTTTCTCGCGAACGGGTGTTTGCCACAACTTTTGTTTCGAAAAAATGCGAAGTCCGTCGGGATCCGTACTTCTCGTGCAAAGGTTCCTTGTCCCATCGTCGGGTTCGCCTGCTGGGCCGTGGATCCGAACCCGCTGTCTTCCTTTCGCAAGTTCGGATTTCGGCGAATTTTCCAAGTTCGGATCCCGGCGAATTTGAGTTGTCTTCCTTTCGCAATGCATGTGGCAGGAGATGTTCCTGCAGGGCCGTGGATCAGAACCTGCCGTGCATTCCTCAGACAATCGTAAATTTCAGATCACGACGGACTATGGATTCTATAAAATGCAAAGTCCGCTGAGATCCGAACTTCCCATGCACGGTTCGTCGAAAAACCGTGGACTTCGGACCCCGGCGTGCTTCACCTTTCGGGTGGTGCGTGTTCTGACTGTGGACTTCCTGGCGACCGGTGGATTGCCACATCTTTTCATTCGTGCGAAATTGAAGTCCGCCTGGATCCAAACTTCTTGGCAGTTTTCGACGTCGGGTTTGGGAGACAGCTTCGTCTTTCCTGCGCAGTCTCTCCAAGTTCGGATCCAGGCGAACATGTCGCTGGGCGTGTTTGCGGCTGGCCCGCGGGCCGGTAGAAGTGAACACCGACGAAGCCGGCAACCCGAAATCGGATCTTGGGGCATACACTGCGTCTAATGCCATGGGTCGCACATCGCGAGACATGATGCGTTTACGAGTGTCTTCGTGCCCGTGTGTGTCGTCGGGCATGTGCGCGTGGTGTGCAGGTTGCGTGATGGAGGGGACCTTCTCGACACCACGCATCTTCGAGTCGATCTTCTCGAGACCACAGGCCATGAGTGCCGAGACGCACATTCGCTTAGC